CCGTGCCCGGCCTTCCCCCCTCTTTCGGCCTTGACACCCCTCCCGGCCCTTTCGCAGTCGCCGGCCTAGCCCCCGCACTCGGCAGTTCCGGCTCGCTCGGCCCTAATCCACGCTTGGCCCTTCCGCTAGGGCCGGCCGAACTGGTAGTTTTTCCGGTTTGCTGTTACAGCAAACCGGAAAAACTCCATTATATGCCACCGATGCACATGATTCATAGGCGAAAATAAGACAATAGACACTTTCAAAATGGCCGCCGTTGTCCCCGAAACACCCCCCCCCCCCCCCCCCCGAAATTTTTTTCTGGGTACGGCCCTGGTGCGAAGTCGGAGTGCGTTTATAGAACGCCGCTTCCTTTTGTTTCCTAACTGAAAGTCCGTGTTCGCCCAAAAGATAAAAAAACGCCCATCGGTAAACCGCAAAGGGGGCAAACACACAGGCATTCTTCGCGAATGCCGCGACCTCCGTGTGCCTACCGGTAGTATAAACCTGGAAACAAAACGTCATTTTCCTTTCCCAAAAAGCATCACCCCCCCCCCCCCCCCCCCCCACACACACACACACACACACAGACACAAGCCAATCGGGCGCCGGCGCAGAGCGTAACCGGTGGCTGCGTTCTGAGGACAGGGAGTTTTCGTAGACCGCGCTGCCCCCTCCGCTAAGCGTTCCGCAACGAAGAAGTTGCTACTGCGCCTGCGCGCCGATAGCCTTGACTGTGGAGTTCCCGCTATCGTAGCGGGTTGCGGAGGGCCTTGCGGGACGGCCGCCCGCAGCTCCGGTTGTACTGCCACAAAAAGTTGTCAAGGAGCCGCGCGCGCGCACGCACAAACTCGAAGGTCAATAGGGAATTTTCGTAGATCGTTCTCGCCGTCCCGCAAGGCCCTCCGCTACGATAGCGGGAACTCCACAGTCAAGGCTATCGGCGCGCAGGCGCAGTAGCGACTTCTTCGTTGCGGAGCGCTTAGCGGAGGGGGCAGCGCGGTCTACGAAACTCCCTATTGAGTTTGTGCGTGCGCGCGCTTCCCGCGGCAACGGTCGCGCCCGCGGAGAGAGCCTTTTTATGGTTTTTGCTTTTGTCATCTTATTTTTGCTTTTGTACTGGGTTCGTTTTAGGCGTCGGTTAAAGGCTGCCGGTTTGCTTGGTTCCGAAGTCGAAAAGGAAGCGGGGACCCGCTTTCCTTTCGGCTTTCGTCACCTTTGCTCGGTCACTGTGGCTTATTGCGATTTTTTTTTCTTTTTCTTTTTTTTTTTTTACGATGTTTCTCTTTTTTTTTTTTTTTCCGTTCACGTTGGACCGAAGGCTGCAGCGGAGGAGGCGGAAACGAGCTACCCGCGAAGCAGTGGATTTCGCTCGACAGTAAAATGAGTCGCAAGTAAGATACGAACCGAACCCGAAATTTGGTTCAGTTAATCTCCTGTCTAGCTTCGCTATACACAGACAAAAAAAATCGCATTTTCAAACTTTTTCGAAACTTTTTGAGCTCGGTACCCGAGTCATGGCCCACCCCACAATTTTCGAGAATTTCAGGCGGTGGGGGGGTGGGCGTTGACTCGGGATATTACGGTAGGTGTATTAACATCTTGTATCTTTTTGCTTTTTATCGTTTGTACCTTCCACTCCTGTAATGGCCCTGTGATAGAGCTAACCGTATCAATAAATAAATAAATAAAACTTTGATTCGAAATTATTCAGCCAAAATCACTGTTCACTTCGAATTAGATTCGGAACCAAAAACCTCTATTCGCCCATGCCTAGTGCATTACCTTCTCGCCAGAACTGGAGATTGAAGCTAACGAAAGCACACTGGGATTCCATTTCCCATGTATTTTGTCAATAAAGGCAACGCGGGCGTTATTTTGTTTATATGCCGCTACTAGAAGCTCGTTACATGGTACGTTAACATTGTCTCGGTAAGGATCATTGCCTGGGCCCAAGGGGGTGGGGGGGCAGAGAGGGGGGCATGAGCCCCGATGCCCCCCCCCCCCCCCCCCCGTAGTCTACGCCTATGTTAGGAGCTTCATTGCATTTCTACGCCTATGACTGTCTGACCCAGACGATGTTTTTTCGTGTGCCATGGCCGTGAGAGTATCAAATAGGGAGCAGATTGGTGGTTTTGAACCACAAAGCAGTTTTTGAGTTGAAACACACAAGCTTACAAAACTATGCTTTTATTGAGAACAAAAAGGCACACAAAAGTGCTGTGCACAGTACAGTAAATCATAAATATAATGCAGTCATATAGCCAGTATTACGCAAAACAGAAGTATGTTATACGGTGGATGTCAATAATATGTACGAATAACAATGTGAAACCATTCCATCGTACTTGTCTCTGGGTGTACAAAGTGCAGAAACACTTAGGTGTGTGCTACATGCCCCCAAACATTGTACTTTTAAAACTGAGGTATACTGGATTTCCTGAGGGGATAAAACTTGGATACGTGGGGCATGGTACATCTCCAACCACACAGAAAATATGATGCGAACATGAAAGTGCAGAGAACCAGGTACCACAGCAAAAGTGTGAGCTGAAACCTGACTTCAAGTGCAAGAAACCTGGTCGTTTGTCCAACACAATCCTTTCGCTCACACGAAATGTGTGGAAACTGAAACCGAACAAACAAGATGAAGAGGCTTGAGCCTTTTCATCATGACAAACAGCATCATGCTTTGAACAGTATCCCTACAATGTTTGTTTACATTTTGCCCAAAAGTGTGACCCCTCACTAGTAACCCAAAAGCCACTTCAGGCAACAGACAGACTGGATAGCCAATCAAACACTGCCAACAATATGTGCAATGGCTTCTTGATGCAAGACCAAGCATGGGCTGTCCCTTGTATTAGTGAAGACACTAGTATTCGAAGCTCTCAAAACGTCAAAGCTGGCCCCCCATGAACTGCCACAGCCAAAATGGTAGACAATGGTACAATGTATGGACACCGATTTTATACATTTGAGCATTGTTACTGTTTGAACTGTTCTGCCACATGATACTGTCTGCACTGTGAGAGGCTAACAGAATGCCTGAGGGGCAAGACATGTACAATTCAAACTGTTGCTTGTTGTTCAGCCCAAATGCTGCAAGTTTCAAACTCGTACTGGTCCCTAAAGAATTCTCTTCGAGCCTTGCCAGCGAAAAACGTTTTCAGACTAGGTGGAACAATCGAGTCCTGAAGTGCTGGAGCACACAAGCAGGTGATGATAACAATTTAAGAAATCGGTGCACGTGGACATTTAGAAAGTGTGAATTTAGTCAGCTCGAGAAATGTGGGAATGCAATGTCGATCCATCCCTGCTGTAAATGAGCAATTTGACCAGTGCAATTGCCAACCTAGGGTCTTTCATCACTCAGCAGATCTCAAAAAACCTCCGATTGAGGCATGTTCAGACCTGTCGCATCACTCATCGGGATGTCGAGCCACAAATGGCATGTGCTCTTCAGTCCCCACTTATGCCCAAGATCTCCATGAACATTTCCACGATTTCTTCCTCCTTGCCACCACTTGCATGGTAAGCATGCAGCTTTTGTGTGCATTCGTTTTTAGAAGGACACAGTTCGACATGGAGTGTTCGTGACAATGTGCCCATTTCATTTTGCATTGAAACCTGGCATTTTAGGGGCTTATTAACAGAATATGTTCTACCAGTCAAATTCTATGAGAAGATTCATGAAAACCGTCACAAAGAACTGTCGTGCACAAAAATCGCCACAAAGAGACGTCGTGAAAAACCTTCACGAGGTATGTCACAGAAAACTGACGTCACCGCGACATCCTGCCATGATGTCGTTGCCGTGACCTCACACGTCATGATGATGCCATGTCATGATGTGGCATGACATCACGTCAAACCGAGATGTCAGATTCCAGCCACGTGACCTCATCGCATGATGCAATACCAGCATATGCCCAAACCGTTCACGACAGATCCTGGTTTTTATCAGCATAATCCCCGGTTTTTATCAGCATGATCAAGCTAATGTAATATTTTCCATGACCACAACCATTCCTCTACGATTCCAAAATCTAGGCTGGCAGCACGCTTACTTTTGACCGGTACACTGCAACAAAACTCTGATGTTCAATCGAGTCAATGCCTGTGGGGGTCCCAAAAGCCAAGCCTACGAACAAGAGAAATCTTCAGCAGGCGCAACAGCCAGTATTTTGCAGCGGCGCCTGTGGAATTGCAATTTGAACATGTTGCCTTCTCCCATCTACCCTGCATCTGACTACAGTATGTTTCTTGTTTGCCCCGGAAACTTCTGGTCCACCCATAGAAACAAGTAGGTAGTTTCGAAACTGATCATCAGCTTTGGTGTTCGGTCTCTTTTTATGTGCAATTCTGGAACTACAAATTTTGAATTATGCACATCGGTAGCTTCAGTGTGCGGATCTTCAAAAACCTAGGCACACGTAAATACCTCATCAGAGTATTTTCAAAAGACATCCATTAGCGATACTGGCAGGCTTTCCTTCTGAGCAACAACACTTTTTCCGGGTTAGTCCACACCAGGTGTATAATCTGCAGGGGCAAAGTTTAACTGAAAGAAACTTTTTCTAATTTGCACCTCGTGCATAGTCCACACTTAGCGTTTAACTTATCCACGTCTTACTCCCGTTACAGAAGTCCCTGACGAGTAGCACTTCATGCAGACTAACAAAACAATATGATGTGAATTTGTCTTCTTTTCATTCAGTGTTCTCACCATCTTTAGAACGTATAGTTTGCAGTTAACAGCCCAAAAATACAGTACTAACTACCCCGAGAGATGATCCCCCGCCTAAAGATACCCAGGCGAAAATCAGTCCACTTCCAGCTGCATTATGGGACTGGAAATGAGGCAGTCCAGCTGGATTCCAGCTGGAATCCAGCTGGACTGGATTATGGGACTGGAAATGAGGCAGTCCAGCTGGATTCCAGCTGGAATCCAGCTGGACTGCCTCATTTCCAGTCCCATAATGCAGCTGGAAGTGGACTGATTTTCGCCTGGGTAGCGCACCTCTATTTCTTGTCACGTACACCGAAAGATAGCCACTTCTAGTAAATGCAGTGCCCGGGCCAATGGTGACATTGGCAAAAATGGGGTTAGTTAGCCAGGGCAGGAGATCAGCGATCATTGCTGACTGGGGAGGGGGGCTACGCTTTGCTACACCTTGCAGAGATAGCAAATTTAGCAGGTAACGTGATCTAGAAATAGCACTTTTTCAACTTTTGTTGATTGCTCACTGAGAGTTATCCCAGTTCTTATTTCAGTTAAATTACTCTCAATTTTAGACGGGCTATACCTTGGGATATTACGTTAAATCTCCTCAGTTAATTTGTGCAACTCTAAAAGTTCTTGGAGGCCGGACAAGTGAACACAAGCATGCCCATACTGAACAAAAAGAAAAGAAAAAGCCACCACAATTCACAGGAACTCGATAGATGACACCAATGTGTTTGCTCATAAGAGATCACAAGACTGCACAGCTTACTTCGTCGAAACAAAACGCAAGTGTGAGAACCAGCCTTTATCCAGGGCAGCATAGATTAGACAGCTTACAAAGTTCCAGATACAAACACAGACTGGGTAACTTTGCGCAAATCAGAAACCGACATCGAATGCAGCTAGCAATATGCTAAAACCCCACAAATGAGCCCGCACAAGATGATCAAGAAAAGCACTTCCTTTGAACCGAGCTGCCCAGAAAATCTGCTCAGAAGAGGTTACGGCTCGCCCAGAAAGCCAACAAACGCTACCACTCCCTTCACGGCATTCACAGCACTTTAGGATCGCATCAGGACTGCTTCAGGACCACTTCAAGAAACAGCTTCTCAGCTTCGGCCCGAAGCTGGCACAACGCAGCATCCACACGTCCGACCCACCGAAAGAAGCAGCTGCTCGTTCGGGAACCAGCAAGATGCATGAGGCAAAGAAACATGTCCAGGAAACTTAAGTTGGGAAGGCAACTCGGCTGTCCGGATGATGTGGAGCCGCATCCGAAAAGTGACGGCACTGCCAGCCAATCGGGGAGCTCCTCTTGGCAGCAGCTTCGGGTGATTTGGGGACTTTGCCGGTGGGGATGGGCAGCGCTGCCTTCTGGGACTTGGTTCACACGAGACCATCCAACTGGGCCTGAATGCGTTCCAGCTGCAAATTCAAGATTAAAGCTGAGCTGCAATGAGCCACTGTAGAAGCGTGACATCCCATTCATACAATCAAACCACTTTAGAGCAAGTTGAGTGGCAAAGAAGCGGTCACCATTACAGCCAGTTTTCATCTAAATCTTCGGAACATCACCATTTTTCGTATATCTCAAATGCACATACCGTAGACTCCAAGAGTCATCCAAAAAAAACATAGCAGTTAAAAAAACAATTTCACCGAAATATTACTTAAGTTCCCGTGAAACTTCCACTTTGAACCAGCTACTGTTCTTTTTATAACAACTGCAGCTTCCGCTCGTTATCACGCTCCATTTGCTGCGTTCTGCCGAGGTCTTCATTGGCACCACTTTGTGGGAATTCCTTTTGGCCTCCCAACCCCCGGTGGCCATCGTCACGGCCGTGGGAAGGAATGTCCAGCCACCTTGAGAGGGTTTCAACTCGTTCACACAGAGGTGGGCTGCCATTTTGGTGGGGTCTCGCTCTGCACCCTCTTCCGGAGACACTCATTCTCAGAAACAGTAGCCTCATTCGATTTACCAGTACCTCCTGCACCAGCTGCACACGGTGCGTATTGCCACATCCCATTTACGAGTGAAGCCTATCTAAAAAAAGACGAGCAGTCCCGCATTAATCCGCAGTACTGTCACAGCCAGACTTGGGGTAATCCGTCACAAGTAACGGATCACTTGTAATTCGTTACTTTTTCAAGTAAGTTTGTAATTGCCATTCATTTCTGTGGCAGTAATTTGTAATGTAATTCTGTTACAAAATATTGGTAACGAATTACTTTAACTGCTCGTTACTTTTTAAAAAATATTAACATAATACAGAAACGGGAGCAATATCAGTTTAAAGGGACCATGAAATGACCTTTTTACTTTTTCCAGATAACTTTTATATTAAACCGTCAATACTCACTAAATGCCGAACAGGCATCCGTTTTCGTCTCGGTTTATTAACTTCTACACAAAAAATTATTGAAATATCGACTTTTTCATTCTCTCCAACTGACCGCAAAAGAAGCCGTGACGTAGGCCGTTTCCGGAACCGGAAGTTCTCTCGGCAGTAGGAGAATGGGAGTGTTAGCGGCAACGAGTTGGGGTGTGCCGGTAGGTTTTACTGCGCTGATGTCACCGGCCTCGGAGATGCAGGAGCGAGCCGACGTTAAAAAAGATACGTTTGAACTACGAGTGTCAGCAAGAGCCACGTAAATACCTGTTTACACTCGGAGCGGACGCGCGCGCTTGATGGAAGTCTTGTATTCGCACTGTTTGTAAGCGCTTCGGGACCGTTCTTTTACGATTGCAACTCGATACTGAAGCGACACTCGGCAAAGAAAGGTTGGACCGGGGTTGTACGTATACCTCCCACGAACTGTTATAGCTCGACAGTGACGTGCAGTCTATCAGAATAAAAATGGCATACCAATAACAAAGTGTACATACCGTGTTACGAAGGTGATCCATACGGCGTTTATTTCAGCTCTATATCACACAAAACAAGAAGATAGAATCGACGAGAGTCCCTTTTCGACGAGTGTTCGTCAACACTGCCTCGGAAAACAAGGGGAAGAGATTGACCTCACCTCTTAATCTAGAATTGAGGTCAGTGATCAAACTATAATACGGGAAGGGTCCACAAGGGTCGCGCGGGCATATTCCATTTAGCACGCCAGCCGATCGTAGGCAGACGGTCTTGCGACGAAGCAACGCAGCGTTGAGTCGGAATGCCTGCTAGGCCTATACGCTTCGTCGGAGTCGGTGGATCCAGCGTTCTTGTTCGTCGTGGTCTGTTTTAAGTACTGTTTTCTTGCTGCTTGAAGTCGGCACGCGCGGGAAGAACACGTAGAAAAATAAACGTTCAGTCAGTCAGAGTTTTGAGAGGAAGGAAAACAAAGAAAATAAATGTTCGTCGCTGGCCGCCACCCAACTAACTGTCGGCCCTGCCCTACTGCGCACGCGCAGTAGTTGCTTCGTTTACCACACGATAGATGGCGCCTGGCTCTCAGCATTATCAAATTTGGCAATTTTCGCCACACATCTCTAATTATGCTACAAAATGTGGATCTGAATATTATTTAACAAAACTTTTAGGAAACATTCGCCGGCTATTTATTGTTTACGATCGCGGTGCTGGTGAGGTAGGCTCTTACCCAATAGGCGACCTGGATTTGGCTGACGTGCTCCATTTCCGCGGATGCATCGTAGTGAACAGGCGAAGGAAGGAAGGCGCAAAAGAGTCCAGTTTTCTTTTAAAAGTTCTATAGCAAATAATTTTTTTTGGCTCCCTATTTTTGTGTTTTTGTGTTTCTTTTCACACCTTTTACGACGTGCGGTGGATGAAACTCGATTTTAAAATCATTTCATGGTCCCTTTAAGACGAACCGCTCCACCAAAGCTCAAAAACCAGCGCTTGCACCCATGCATTTTTCAGTACAGCAGGCGACGTGCGAGATCGAAAGCTTTACTGTGGTTGGCCTTCCACGATTGGCCGAATAGCACAGGATTTTTCATTGGCAGAAATAAGAGTAATATAAGAATTTCAATTCCACAGTGTTGCAACGTTGGTTTCAGAGCGCAATGATTTCAATCTTCCCCGATGCTCATTACAAACGCCATGGCACTTGTTGTTCGCAAGGTAACGAGGTCACGAGAGGGAACCATAGGAGGGCGCCACCGAAACACCTCGCCGCTAATGGGATTATTAACTGGCAGCTATAGCTCTGTGCGCAACTGCTGAGCCTGTACCGACGGTGAGCTTTGTGGGAACCACGTGTTTCCCGTCTCCCTATCTAGGCCTAGCACGAGCAGGCCGTGGGAGCGTTATGGCGACGTCATCCCGGATACGGGGGTAAGGCCGCATTCCTCGAAGAGGGCGTGTCTTCCCACGCCCTTTTGGGTGAAAGTGCCTCCGGCGCACCCTTCGGAAATGATTGTGGACGCGGCCCATCTGCGGGATAAGCCACACTACCTACCCCGGGCGCGTCCACTTTCCACTGGCTAGATAAGCGGCCGCGAACGGCGGCCCTGTCTCTCGTCCGGGGAGGGCTCTGGGCCACGGAGCCTCGTTCTTTTTGGAGCTTTCCCCATTCCACGAATCTGCCTAATGCAGCAGCGTGGGCCCCCTCCAGGTGAATCTGTCTAATGCGACAGCGCCGACCCTTTTCCGTTCTTTTCTTTTATTAGTTTGGCCGACGGGCACAGCGTGGTGGCACAGGTGCCAAATAAACCCGCTTCTTCAGTATCTTTGTGTTTTGGAGTGAATCCTCTCCTCGGAGTCCACGGCAGCCTCCGGACGGACCCGGCCGTAGCAGTCCTCAACATCGAGCTACGGAGTGGGATCGACCTCGTGGTGCAGTAAGGCAAGTCGAATCCCACATTTGGCGCCCCAACGTGCGGCCTGTCCGGCGACTGCAAACAAAGCAGCACTTTCGCAATGACAGCGAACCACGCCAATTTCCGGCCAAGGATCAAACAGGTGGACAAAGGGAGAGGCGAACGCCCGACACCCGATGCCACTCAACGGCTTAGTGGCACGTCAGCCACGTAAAGACAATGACTAAGTGTCTCGGCCGAACGCCCTCCCACACGGAGGTGACTCAACGCCCGGAATGCGTCCGAGGCATTCCCTTTCGGGACGACGCCAGCCTACTTCGCTGGGAAGAGCGCACCTGTGCTTTTCGGGGTCAACCCCGTTCTCGAACAAAGTATGGTGACGCAACAAGAAGCAAGTGCAGCTTTTTGCCTTCGAGGCGGCTCGCGGGGCCCACCCAAAGTGGACACCCCGTCAGCGCAGAAACTAAAAGCGTATCTCGGAGCGAGAAAATGCGCTGTGCCTGCATTCCCCCACTGCTGGAATACGCAGCGCGCGTACGGAGACCGCCGATGGTGCCCCTCTACGCTGCGACAACGGTCCAGCATTCAGCACGTCAACGGCGGGACCTTCCCGGATCTAGGAGCGAGATCGACCATCCACGGAGAACTACTCAGTGAGTCCTTTCATTTTTCTCCCAAGCCTTTCCGTCCCTATCGAGGGAACAGGACTGGCGTCAGAACGGTTTTCGGAAAACTAACTTTAAAGATTTCCCGATCACCCGCGATTGATTCCGGCAAGAGTCAATGAGCGTCGCACGTACCGACATCGTTAGAAACCTTGACTCCGAAAAAAAAAAAAAAAAAAAAAGCGACGTCGAAAACGTTGCGGAGTTTGGGAGACGTTTAACCAGCGCTACCGGACACGCGCGAGAGGTTGAACAGCATCCCGAGAACGCGGTAGAAACCGCGTCGTAATTGCGTGTCATAAGGTGACCGCCATGCGGTCACTGGACGAGATCGTGAACCACGGCACTCGAGGTGTTCGTTGGGAATCGACGGTAGCACCGATGAGTTTTTGATGCTCAGCAGAACGATCCGGGGTGTAAATATGTGAATAGTTGTAAATACTTTCGCGGACTCTGCGGAGTCGGGCGGTGCGTCCACCGGGCGGTACGCTTGCCACTAACGTCGCTAAGCAACTTGTTTTGTTGCAGACGGGCTTTGGCAGCCGGGCAGCGTACCCGCCGTGTCGAGCAACTCGTGTTGTTGCCGATGTGTGTGCCGTGAACAGTCTCGTATTGCTGTTGGCACGGGGTTTTTATTTGGGATCGGTTTCTGTTCTTGCTGATGCGGATAAACTCGTGCTACGGCGCTTGGCCTCTACGAACATTGCAGTTCAAGGTGGCTGTCCTGTGCGGCTGGGGGTTGCATTCGGTGCTCTCCTAGTTCGCGTTGGCCATTGCAGCACGCGGCTCCAAGACTTTTCGAAGTTAGGTCGCTGTGCTATACCTGGCCACAGGAATTTGTGGTTTAGCCTAAGGTAAAAGCTAACATGTTTGAAAAATAACAATGTTGGCGAGCCTGCCCGATTGCAGCCCTGCATCGTTTCAATATCACAAGAAAGGACAGGTCGGTGCATTTGACACTCCATTGCGCCCGCAAATCGAAG